CCGGCGCCCCCGAGGGCGCGGGGCGGCGCGCGGGCGGCTCGCGGCGGCAGATCCGGCACCTGGAGCACCTGCTGCGCGTCTACGCCGGCGAGATCCGGCGGCTGCAGGAGCGCGAGCTGGACCTGGCCGAGCTGGACAGCGCCGACTCGCCGTACCTGCAGGAGAACCGCCTCAAGAGGAGGATGATGCGCATCTTCCGCCGCCTCTGCCAGCTCAAGGACTGCAGCAGCCTGACGGGCCGCGTGCTGGAGCAGCGCATCCGCTTCCGCGGCACGCGCTACCCCGAGGTCAACCGCAGCATCGAGCGCTTCATCAACCGGCCCGACGCCTTCCCCGACTACTCGGACATCCTGCGCGAGATCCGCGGCGCCAGCGCGCGCCACGGGCTGGGGCTGGGCCGGCGGCAGATGGAGAACATGGCCCAGGAGGCGTTCCGCGAGGTGGGCAACCGCCTGCAGGAGCGGCGCCACCTCGACCTGGTCTACAACTTCGGCAGCCACCTCACCGACCAGTACCGGCCAGGTAATGGGGGGAAAATGGGGAAAAATGGGGGAAAAATGGGGGAAAATGGGGGGAAAATGGAGCACAACTTCGGCAGCCACCTCACCGACCAGTACCGGCCAGGTAACAGGGGGAACGGGGAAAAACAGGAGGAAAATGGGGGAAAATGGGGGAAAAATGGAGTACAACTTCGGCAGCCACCTCACCAACCAGTACCGGCCAGGTAACGGGGGGAAATGGGGAAAAATGCGGAAAAATGGGGGAAAAATGGGGTAAAAATGGAGTAGAACTTGAGCAGCCACCTCACCGACCAGTACCGGCCAGGTAACGGGGGGAAATGGGGAAAAACGGGGGAAAATGCGGGAAAACGGGGGGAAAATGGAGCACAACTTCGGCAGCCACCTCACTGACCAGTACCGGCCAGGTAACGGGGGGAAATGGGGAAAAATGGGGGAAAAATGGGAAATGGGGAATGGGAAATGGGGCACAACTTCGGCAGCCACCTCACCGACCAGTACTGGCCAGGTAATGGGGGGAAATGGGGAAAAATGGGGAAAAATGGGAAATGGGGAATGGGAAATGGAGTACAACTGGGGCAGCCACCTCACCGACCAGTACTGGCCAGGTAATGGGGGGAAATGGGGAAAAACGGGATAAAAATGGGAAATGGAGAATGGGAAATGGAGTACAACTGGGGCAGCCGCCTCACCGACCAGTACCGGCCAGGTAACGGGGGGAAATGGGGAAAAATGGGGAAAAATGGGGGAAAATGGGGGAAAAATGGAGTAGAACTGGGGCAGGCACCTCACCGACCAGTACCGGCCAGGTAACGGGGGGAAATGGGGAAAAATCGGGGGAAAATGGGAAATGGGGAATGGGAAATGGAGTACAACTTGGGCAGGCACCTCACTGACCAGTACCGGCCAGGTAATGGGGGAAATGGGGAAAATGGGGGAAAAACGGGGG